TAAATTAATATAAATTATTTGGAAACTTTTTTTCACTCTTCTTGAATTAGGGATCTCCAGTAATGCTGAAGCTATTTGAACCAAAATAATAGAATTATATTTTGTTTATTATTTCTACGTATACGAATATTTCTACGAATACAATTCTACGTAATCAAATTTGAAAAACTCTTTGTGTATCACATATGTTTGTAAATTATTTAAACAAATAAAAAATCAAGAACAAAAAAACAAAAAAACTATAGGCTCATTTAAAAACTAAAAATAAAAAAACTAATTAGTAAAACTATAAGTAATTTTAGATTTTTCTTATATTAGAGTAGATTTCATTATCATAAATATAATTTGATTAATAAAAATCTGATACGAATCTTGTATGAATACTATATATAAAGATAGAGCTTAGCTATCTATTAGGGCTTAAATTTTTGTCGACGATTTCGGCACACGGATCAACCGATTTCAAAAATTTTAAAAAAACATTCGATTCGTATTGATAAGGAGATGTACTGATTAGTTTTTGGCAAAGGCACGTCTAGCCGTTTCGAAGATCGAGGCAAAAGAAGCCAAAAATGGTAATTCAGTTTTTGAGAGAACGGTGCGTCCGATTTGAATAATTCAAAAAACATTTTATTTGTGTTGGCTAAACGAAAAACTGTTTAAATTTTTTGAAAGGCAGGTTCAGCGATTACAAAGTTTTAATAAAAAAACCTTCAAAAGCGCCATTTGGTGGTCAAAAATGTTCATTAGACATATGCACATCAAATTATCATATATTTTATATCTATCTATATATTTTAATAAAGTGTACACATTTTGTGTCAATTTTTTTGGGTTCCGTACCAAGATTTTTAATTTTGAAGTTTATTTATATAGTTCAAACAAATGTCCTTGACAATTTCGACAGTATGGAATAACCGATTTGTGTGATTGAAAAAACATTCGATCGCGAAGCGTTTTTGCAAAAGGCACGTGTAGCCATTTCGGAGTTATGCAAAAGATGTAAAAATGATAATACAGTTTTTGAGAGAACGGATCATCCGATTTGATTAATTCAAAAACCATTTTGCTTGTGTAGACGGTGTGCAGAAAATGCGTTTACCAAAAATTTGGTGACTTTGAAAATTTTTAAAAAAAAATCTAAATTTTCAAAAAAAAAAAAAATCATAAGTTTAAAAAAATACAAATTTTCGTTATTTATCATTTTCTACAAATTTCAAAAAATACAAATATTTGTAATTTATCATTTTCTACATTGAAGAATTTAAAAAAAATATAGAAATTAAAAAAAAAATCGATTTCTTACAAAAATTTGAGAGTATTTCGAAATTTTCTAAAAAAAATTGAATATTTTCAAAAATTTCCAAATTCTCAAAAAAAAAAAAATGTTTTTATCCGAAAATTCTAAAAAAACGAACTTTTAATAAAATTTCAAAATTTTGATAAAATTTCAATATTATCAAAAAAATCACATTTAAAAGAAAATTGAACAAATTTCTTGTGAACATACATAAGTTATTTGTAGAATACGCTCGTCGCCCAATTTAATAAGTTTACAGTTATGTATTTATAATAAATAATTTATTTGAAATTATTCAAAACAATTGATTATTTTCATTTCGTGAATGTTTAATTACGGTACGGGAAGTTCCAGCAATTTACCTTAATGCACGATGCCATGCACCACTAGTTTAATTTTTGTGAAGCAATCAAAACCTAATAGTCCTATAAGCTGTTGTGCTGTGTGCTGATTTGACTTAATACCAGTCCGTTCAACAGATGGCAACCCAAACGGTTGTCAAATCTCTGTATGATGATATATTATTGTTACAATTTCTGTAATAGGACAAATATTTTCCAAATTGTTTTCAATTTTAAACTTGAGGGTAAGATAAGCTTAATTCCAAAATTTCATGTAAATGGGAGCACGGTAAAAAAATTAGAGGTTACAACATTTTTTCTTCTCCATTTAGTGCACTATGCCGGGTGAGGACTTTTTTCACTTGCTATCTATATTTTATATGAAACATATTGCTATCTATATTTTTAAGTAGACTTATTCAAACTGTCTATAGACTTAATGTAAAATTAAGTCTCACAATAAGCTTATAGTCTATAAGCTTGTTGGAGGATTTACTACTTTTTTCATTTATTTATTTGTAATTCATTTTTATTTATGCTTATTTGTTTATTATTATCTTCTCTTTATTTTATTTCTTTCTGTGATTATTATTATTTTTTATGTGTACTTTTGCCCTATAATGTATAGGGTTCTGTCAATAACTCTGATTGTTCTATAATGTTGTATGAATAAAAAAAAATTCCAAGTGAAAATTGTTGTTACTACATATTGTTTTATTTTTTTTTATTCATTCATATTATATAACAATCAGAATTATTTACATACCCTATAAGTTATATGGCTAAATTACACATAATAATAATAATAATAATAAAGAATAGTAAAAATAATAATACTCACACAAAGAAATAAAGAAAAAATAAATAAATAAAAATAATAATAATAATAAATAAATTAATAAAAATGAATTAAAAATAAAGAACAATAGATGAATAAAAAATAAAAAGAAAAAAAAACAAATTGTGATAATTGCTCCAATAAGCAATTGACTATGGAAATCAATTTTATATTGTAATATAATATACGATTATTATACAAATTTAGTGTTTGCACATCGTGTGTATTTGCATGTGTATGTGTATGTGTATGTGTATGTATAATATATCAACTTCAGTAGTTCATCAATGTACCCACCGTTCGGCGATTCATTGCTCGAAAGCAATTTGTCTTTGATTCAGTCAGTCGCTCGTCGGACGCGAAACCGTCAACTTCGGAATTTATTTCAATAATAAAATACCAACACGTATATTGTT